TTCAGTTCTTGCACATCTGTTTTCAAAACAGTAGAAGATGATCTTTGCATTACTGATTCCAGCAAAAAGAAACAAGACATTGATATCACTAGGAAACATGTTTCTATACAGATCCTTGTATATGATTTTTAAGGAAACCTAGAAGCATTTCCACCTCATCAGGTTCAAGTGGAGTAACTTTATTATTTCCAACCCATACTAGATTCCATTTTCAGCACTCATCAAGAACATACTTCTGGACACTCGAAGGTGGCTCATTGTCATAAGCTTCAAAAGCCTTACAGATCCTTTCTGTCAATTTGGCACTTCCTGTACATGTTTATAAACAGTTCAACTTTGTTCTTGGATCCCATGAAAGCCATCATTTCTTTGTCAATGGAAAAGCATCAGCACATGAATGAAGCATAATAAGAGAAACTTTGTTTTTAATTGGCAGAATTATATAGCCCTTTTCAGTGTAATAGCATGGAAATGCTTCGAATCTACAAATTCTGGCTTTATATCGAATAAGTACTGTGATATCCCAGTCCAAACATTAAATGAAAGATGAATTTACCAATAGCATCTTCTGGAAGTGTTCTTTGAGTTATCTGATCTGATTAGACAGAATAGCATCTTCTGGAAGTGTTCTTTGAGTTATCTGATCTGATTAGACAGAATAGCATCTTCTGGAAATGTTCTTTGAGTTATCTGATCTGATTAGACAGAATAGCATCTTCTAGAAGTGTTCTTTGAGTTATCTGATCTGATTAGACAGAATAGCATCTTCTGGAAGTGTTCTTTGAGTTATCTGATCTGATTAGACAGAATAGCATCTTCTGGAAGTGTTCTTTGAGTTATCTGATCTGATTAGACAGAATAGCATCTTCTGGAAATGTTCTTTGAGTTATCTGATCTGATTAGACAGAATAGCATCTTCTGGAAGTGTTCTTTGAGTTATCTGATCTGATTAGACAGAATAGCATCTTCTGGAAGTGTTCTTTGAGTTATCTGATCTGATTAGACAGAATAGCATCTTCTGGAAATGTTCTTTGAGTTATCTGATCTGATTAGACAGAATAGCATCTTCTGGAAGTGTTCTTTGAGTTATCTGATCTGATTAGACAGAATAGCATCTTCTGGAAGTGTTCTTTGAGTTATCTGATCTGATTAGACAGAATAGCATCTTCTGGAAATGTTCTTTGAGTTATCTGATCTGATTAGACAGAATAGCATCTTCTGGAAATGTTCTTTGAGTTATCTGATCTGATTAGACAGAATAGCATCTTCTGGAAGTGTTCTTTGAGTTATTTGATCTGATTAGACAGAATAGCATCTTCTGGAAGTGTTCTTTGAGTTATTTGATCTGAAGAAGTGTATCAGCAGCCTTAGTCATTTGAGCAGCATATAAAATTTGCCAATTCTGCAATTAATGAATTTGGACCACACATCTCTACCTGACTATTGAAGTTTCAGCCTTTGAGAATCCCATTTTTGTCAAGTATAACAGTTTATTCTCCTCATCAGAATCAGAATTCAAGATTTCTCGGTATTAGAAGAACTATCGATATCTGTGAAATCATCCTGAAAGGTTACTTCATAATCAGATGAGTTGCTATCAGGATCAACATGTTGCCTGAATGCAAGCTTTTCAAGAGTATATACTATTGAGTTTTATTCTCAAGAGGTTCTGTGACATTATATCTACATCTGCATTTGTCAAAGATGATAGATTCTTTGATTCGAAGAAGACATATATATTGGGTTTTTATAATTGAAGAAATACTCAATTCACCAATCTGAAATCAAATAACTAAACATTCATGCATCATATTTAGGCATTTGCAAAATAGATGCATTTCATTCATTTTCATCTATGTTGAATTTTTAACAGGAATTTCAAAGATTTTAGCAAAGATTTCAAATCCACTTGATGGATCATTCATTACCAGATAAGTTCATAATGAGAAGAACTCATCTGAAGAAGGAAGAAGAAGTTCATAATGAGAAGAATTTGTTCAACCTTTTGTTTGAATTCATCATTTGATGGATCATTCATTACCAGATAAGTTCATAATGAGAAGAACTCATCTGAAGAAGGAAGAAGAAGTTCATAATGAGAAGAATTTGTTCAACCTTTTGCTTGAATTCATCATTTGATGGATCAACATTGCCAGAGAAAGTTCATAATGAGAAGAACTCATCTGAAGAAGGAAGAAGAAGTTCATAATGAGAAGAATTTGTTCAACCTTTTGCTTGAATTCATCATTTGATGGATCAACATTGCCAGAGAAGGTTCATAATGAGAAGAACTCATCTGAAGAAGGAAGAAGAAGTTCATAATGAGAAGAACTTGTTCAATCTTTTGCCTGAATTCATCACTTGATGGATTATTTTTGCCAGAGAAGGTTCATAATGAGAAGAACTCATCTGAAGAAGGAAGAAGAAGTTCATAATGAGAAGAACTTGTTCAATCTTTTTCTGAATTCATCACTTGATGGATTATTTTTGCCAGAGAAGGTTCATAATGAGAAGAACTCATCTGAAGAAGGAAGAAGAAGTTCATAATGAGAAGAACTTGTTCAATCTTTTGCTTGAATTCATTATTTGATGGATCAACTTTGCCAGGTAGAGTTCATAATGAGAAGAACTCATCATCTGAAGAAAGAAGAAGAAGTTCATAATGAGAAGAACTTGTTCAATCTTTTGCTTGAATTCATCATTTGATGGATCATCATCCCCAGCAGAAAGTTCATAATGAGAAGAACTCATCTGAAGAAAGAGAAGAATTTATTCAATATCTCCATTATAATCAAGTGAAGACAAATGGATAAAAAAAATTTATTATCTTTTCATCTTTGCCCTATTCTTGTTAACACAATAATGAGCAAAGAGGGGCAGCTGAAGATATTAATTTTTTATCCATATTATTATTATTATTATTATTATTATTATTATTATTATTATTAATTTATATTAAATATATTAAATACATAATAATATTTACAGGCCCAATTACAACTGGACCGGTCCAGTTACAAACCAACCAGAACCGGTTCAAAACTAACTAGAAACCCTAAATGTTTAGGTTTCCAGTTAGGGTTTCCTAACCCTAATTAATCAGCCGCCTCAGCTCACAGCCGTTGGATCTGGCAAGATCCAACGGTCCAGATGATGCCAGAAGGAAACCCTAGGGTTTGATACCCTAGGGCCACGCGGCGCCGCTCCAGCTTCCACGCGGCTGCCGACAGCCCTCGCCGCCTCCGCCGCTGCCACGTCCCAACCGAAGACTTCAGAAGATAAAATGGCAGCCGACCACGCCATGGCTACTCGGTGAGTCACCACTGGTAGTCCGGTGACTCACCGAAGCCCCCTCTTCGGACCGGTCCGAGACGAACACCGGTGGTGGCTATAAAAGCCACCACCCACCTGAAAGACAGAAAGACAGAGACAGAAACAGAACCGGAGAGAAGAAAAAAAAACAGAGAAAAGAAAAAAACAAACTATACCAACGATCTCAGCAGCAAAGAACCAGAAGAAAAAAAGAAAGAAAAAGGAAGAAGAGACTTACCGAGGAAGCGTCGACCACCGGATCTCGTCAGAACCTTCGAAACATCGAAGGTATTATTTTAGATTTGCTCCGATTGGGAGCAGTTTAACGAAAAAAAATGTCGGAACCGTCATTATGACGGTCCGATCTACGTTTAGATGAAAGAAAAAAAATTTCCGGCCACCGAAGACGGTGGCCGGCGGCGGTGGTTGACGGCGGATGAACGCCGGCTAACGACGGCCGGCCGGAGAGCTTCTCTCTTTTCTAGAGAGAAGCGAGAGAATTTCTTTCTCTCAGAAAAGAGAGAGAGAGGGAAGAGAGGAGAAATGAAACTGGCCCTTCGGGCCAGCTGATTTTGGGCTTAAATAGCCCTTCCCGAACGACGCCGTTTTGGGAAGGGCTATTCGCGTAATTATAAAATAGTTAAATCCCGTCCGCAGTCCCTCGTATTTGTAAATTTTACATTTTGGTCACTAAACTGAATTTATAATAGTTTTAATTCAGTCTTTGAATTTTAATTTTATTCATTTTAGTCATTTTTATTAAAATAATATGTTTAGGATAAATAGCAGATTTAATCCTTTAATTTTAATAAATAATATTTTATCCCTAGTTCATATTTTTAATTAATTTTATATTAAAATTCGAATTTTAGATAATTTCATTTTGGTCACTAAATTATTAAATTAGAAAATAAAATGTTTAAACCCTATAATTTCAATTAATTAGTAATTAGTAATTAGTTTTATTTTTATAATTTAGTTATTCATTTTATATGTCTTAATTTATTTTATTGTTTTTAAATATATTATTTTAGTAATATTTTTATTTTATTATATTGTTAAACATTTTTTATATAGTCATAAATATACATATAATAAATAGTATTTTTTTTAAAAATATTTATTTTTAATATTGAAGAAAATGACAGTCTTAATACAACTGGATGTCCTATTCTGATATTTTAAAATTAAAAAGTAAACAATATTATTTAAATTAATATTTATCAATATCAAAGAAAAGAGCTGTCTTAAGGCACCTAGAAGTTCTTTTCGGATATTTTTAAATAAATAAATATTTTTTTAAATTATAGGATTATAAATTAAATATATTTTTTGAATTTTTAAATTTTAATAATAGAGACAATTTATAATTAAAAAGTACCAATTTTGGGCGTTGTAGGGGTGCTAATCCTTCCCTAAACGTAACCGACCACGAATCCCTTTTTATTATTAAAAAGAATGAATTTTTGGTTAAAACGCAGATCAGTTTATCTTTTAATTGATGTTTTCTTAAAAACTCTTTCAAAAGATATTTTTTAGGTATTCGACCTACCTGACCCAAAAGGCCGATGGCGACTCACAAATTATTTTCAAAATTATTTATTCACATCAATTTCCCCGCTAAATTTAATATTTCGTGCCCGGACGAAAACCGGTTACGACACGAGTTATACGAATGTGGATGGTATCTGAAAGGAGGATCTTCAACAGCAACCGCGGCGGCAGCGTCGCCATCAGGTGAAGCTGAAGCAGAAATGGAGAAAGGGATTGCGGGCCTAAATGGGTACTTGATACAAGTTATGGAGCGAAAGCAGGTGGAGTAAGGGCGTTGAAAGAGGGAGGCTTTATGAGATAGAGGTGCTGAGAGAAGCGCCATTGTCATTTCCTCTGTGTGTTTTATGAGGAAATGGATAAACAGTCAACCACGAGCTCGAGCGTCGTAAGCAAAATATACGGTCCAGAATGAGAGATGAAAATGCAGAATGGCAAAACATCAGGAAAATATTGAGGTTCCACCGAGATTTGAACTCGGGTTACTGGATTCAGAGTCCAATGTCCTGACCACTAGACCATGGAACCAACCTGTCATTCTGAGATTTAATTATTTATAATAAATTTTGTAAATTACAATAAATTTTTTTATTATGACAATACTCGTTCAAAACTAGTTTATAAGGATTAAAAAAATATACACACCACAGAGGTGGATCGAGAGATCAGACATCCCTAAAAGTATAAATAGATCGATGGATTGTTTGTATAACATTTATTTATGTTAATTCATTAAACTAAATAAATCAATATGGACAATTTGTTTATGTTCATTTAATAGACACTTACAAGGATGAACATAGATTTATTCGATTCGTTTATATTCATGAACAAACTTCTTTATTAACTCTTTATAAATTCATTTATCGACTCGTTTTCAAACTCATTTACTCGATTTTCCTTTTCCTTTTATCATTTTTTATATTTTAAATATCGATGAAAATATGGACTATATTGAACACATAATAAACTTTGGGGTTCAAACTGTGAAACTTAAAGAGCTTAAAGACTAGTGGCGTAATTTCACAATTTTTTGAACATATAAATAAACACGTTCACAAACACTACGAACACAATCACCTTAAAAAATAAACAAATAAATACATACACGATATTAAAACTTTAATCGAACACGAATCAAATAGACACTTTCAAAAATAAACAAACGAACACAAACACAACCTTATTCGTTCAATCTCAGTTCATGGATGCCAGGAAATTTATCCATAATGATTTTATCACATGCGCTGGTGATTAGATTTAACCCTTTAGGCAATTTATCCAGCAAATAATGCAACATCTATGATTTGTGAATCCACCTTCAATCCACATGTTTACATCCATGTCAAGAATTGTTGAAGAAATATGTACAGCCATAATTATGATATGCTAAAGAGGCAAACAAATAATCAAAGGACTAAAACGTAAAGGGTCCCCTATCTACCAGAAAATACCCAAAACTGAGATGGCAAAGCCAAAAATAGAAGGATCATTGAAAAGATATTCCAGGGAAATTTCAAGCAACTTGCATTTGGTAACTAAATAAAATTACCAGTACCATGTTTTGAAGCTAGTACTAAAATTATCACTTTGTATTTAACTCTCCATCTTCTGTTATTCATGAATCTGTTGTCCCATGTCCCCACCGGCAAGCAGCATTACTGAACTGTGGTGATGTACAAGGTACCACCGTCCGTGATGGAACTCAAAGATGTTTGTCATGTTAAATGGTCCGCTATCTATGTCAACAAAGGTTTTCATTGTAACCCATGCCATATCTGTCAGTACCCGGGATCGAACATCTCTAACCTGAAAATCAACCTCTTGCTCCCAATTAAATGCAACCTGCCAACTCTGTATTACAGCATTATACCTGCATGCAGTAAAACCCCAATGGTTCTCGGAGTTAATATGGTATATAACGCAAACCAGTGATATAAAGACTTGAGCCTAATCGAGTCAAATACTACGGTGATATACATTCTACATGCTGATAAACTAATCTTAACCAACTTCCTGAAGCATCCAATCTTCTGATGTGATGAAGGATCATGCTTGTGACAAAAGGAATGACCAAAAAGAAAAGGAAATTACCCTCCAATATATCTTGAAATAAATGTTTTTCATTCAAGCTTTCCTAGATCACGATAGGAAATACACCATTTATTCAACTCAAATATAAATGTTAGGTGGTACATTCATCGTTCGAATTCTTAAATTACAATATCTGTCATTTCTCAAGAATTCTATTTATATGTAGTTGCTTCTAACATACCGATGCAAATAGAATTCCTTGACAACATGGTTGACTGTAATAATAAGTACTTAAGTAGAGAGAAATGCACTGTTATTCCAATTCATGAAGGCACCATAAAGCACTTTAATGTTGGAACCAAGTTAGCAACTAAGACCACAAGCAATTTTGAGGTCATAAAAGCAAACTATAATCATCTTACAAGTTAAAGCTCTTCTCTATGTTCAAATATTTTTGGAATCATCACTGTATTTTCTAGACATCTTAAAGAGGAAAACATCAAGCTCATTTCACTCGAGTTTAATCAACCGTGCAACATTACATCTTCAACTAGACATAAACATGTCGAACGCAATTTATATCTTTCAAGGTTGAAAACATCTACATGAAAATGTTGAAGGAACAAGATAAGAGAGTTAAATGACACGAGGAAAACTTTATTGGCTTTGTTCAGTGTTTTACCCAGACCTACCTCAAAGCTAAAATTTAAAATTCATTGCAGAAACCTAAAGAAAAATTATAGAAATTATCGAAATTTTAACACTCCATCATAAGAACAAAAGGAAGTAAACTGCATTTTCCTGATATCGAACTGAAAGATCGTACCCTGAATAATGTTCTCCCGACGCGTGAATACACTTTACATAATCCTCATTCAGCCAAAAACAACTCATAGCAGGAAAAGACCTATTCCTGATGATGTTAAAGAATTCTGTATTAACATTCATTATGGCTCTTGTAGCTGCATAGTATGCCTTCCACCCATTAACCGGTGTCACACTATCTTGCTCCAACGTAAAATCCTAACAAACAGAAGATCAAGGCAGAGAATTTAATAACTAATCCCAACTGAGAAAGCTATCGAGAACAGGATCACAGTTAATTACAAAACATCACCATTAGGGAAACAATGAAATCAATCCACTATAACAGTTGATATTAAATAAAATTTAAAAGATATACAGTGAAATTTTGGAAAAGAAAGCTCGGCTCCATTGAGGAAATTAGAAGCAACGATTATGACGGGTACATCTCTTCATTCGAGGTAAAAAAAAAAAGCCGTCATTGATTCTGTGTACTCAGTTTTTCTCCCAATGAACTATGAACTATATAAATAAATAATGAAGACCAAATTCATACTTTCATTAGAAATGCCATGAAAGGCGAAATAACTATGAACATTAGAAATTAGAATTCATGAAAATCAAAATTGAAGCCAAAAAATAAAATAAAAATCGAAAGGCAACAAAAATTGGGGGAACCGGGTACCTTGTGATAAAGTGCTTTCCAAGCATTATCATCATTGGCGGCCTTTCTCATCAGTGAGTTAGTCATAGAAAGCTGGCAAAGGCTCGGATAATCCAAGTAACTAAGCGCGTGAGTGGTAATCTCGGGAACCAGCTGCTCCATCATTGACGCCCCGCTCTGCATCTCCGCCGCTACCTTGGAGACATCCGCCGTTACCATTTCCTCCTCCACGGCACCAGCCCTACCGTCGTTAAGGAACGCCTCGGAATCGGTGTTGCCGTTGCAGGAAGACGGGGGCGTGGCTTGTCTTGATTCTTCTTTCCCGGTTGACGTGGCGGGAGCGGAGACTTTGGATTTGTGGGGCTTCTTGAATAATGACCGGACGGCGAGGAGGAGGGGGAGGAGGGTAACGATTGTGGCTATGATCAATGACTGATGGGACTGGAGAGCGATGGAGGGGCTATAGGAAATCTCCATTCATAAGACATTAAAGCTCCGTCGTACATGAAATAAAACCCTAGAAATCTCCAGTGACTCCAAATAGGTAACTGATTAAGACGGCGAAAGATCTTAGGTATTTTGGGTAATATTTTTTTTTAGAAAAGGTTTTTACAAAAGGTGTAAAAATTTAAACAGGATTCAATTTTGTTTCAGAAAGAGAGAACGGAGAATCGTGACACACACAAGATTAATGGAGAAGCGCAAACCAGAAAAACAGGCCAGAATTATGGGATAGCTTTGTAGTTTTATTATTTCTGTAACGACGTCGTTTACGCGTTCTTTCTTAAAACACAGGTCGCCAGTGAACTTGCATCTTTCGTGTTCTCTAATTTTGGTAATTTTGATTAAATTAATTATTAAATTATCAAATTCCTTAAAATAATTCTTGTTTGACATATAATTTATAGAAGTGATAGTAATAAGTAAGGTATATAATAGTAAAGTGATACTAAAATAATTTTATAAAATAAATAACAAAATAATTTTTGTATAATTTTAAAAGTGAAGCACAAACAATCAAACAAGAGCTCGATCTAAATCTAAACTTAAGCAATAACATGAGATTGCTGCACAGTAAACAGAGGTTCAGTGTTCAATGGCAAAAGAGTCCAGTAAGATCCTTCACCGTCAGTACAGCAGCTATATCATTCTATTCTGTAAGAACCCACTGGAAAATGAGATACATCAAGCACACAGCTTGAAAATCCTTGCCCTTTACCATTTGGTTCAAAGCGCACAAATGTTCATTTGCTATCTGCTCATCATTTGTATCACTGTCTCTTTTCGCGCCCCTTAGGTAGCGATTTACCAAGGCTGACGATTCGATTCCGTTTCTTAGTTGTTTCTTTCCCCGTGGGATGGCTTCGGAGAGGACACTCTGCTGTGAAGAAGGCAGTACAACTTGGTCAATCTGAGTGAGAGTTCGGGTGAGGTGTTTCTCAGTTGAAGACACAGACTTAGCGAGAGGTGAGAGCCGGACAACACGATAATCTGGTTTCGATTTCTGGTGTCTGTGCTGAAGACAAAGAGTTATGAACCAATGAAAGGCCTGGAGATTTAACAATATTTCAAAAACAAGAATATCAAAAAGCTGAAAATATATCAGTTATCACAAACAGCTCCACTCTAATTCTAGAGATGGAAATCGGTGACAGAAGATAAAGCTAAAGATCATTATGCAATGGAGCAGCTTAGCTAATCTTCAATAGGTTAAGTAAAAGGTTTTTTTTTAATTGAAAATAGGCATCTGGAATGGAATTCGAAGCCATTTCCTAATAATGTCTAATAGTAGTTCTCTCCCATTCTTCGTGACTTGGGATATGATTGCCTCAATTTCTATCACGCTTATCTCGTTTCGCGAACGAATCACAGTGGAAACTGCATACCTTGTTATATTAAGTATATCCTTTACCTCATGCCCACTTTTCAATATACAATTTCGGGACTGAAGGTGAGAACATTTTCTGGGACATCCTTCACTCTCTAAAAGTAGACAGAGATCCATGCTACTCTCTTGGTCAATGTGCAATAAACGCCCAAGCAAATCTTGTAGTAGCATCGAACTTAAATTGCTATGCTCTGAGTCCTCTTCATCACGAGTTCTTAAATTTTTATGGGCAGGGATATTTGGAAAAAAAAACTGGGAATCCGGTACTAAAGGCCAATACGGAGCAGCTAAGTGCAGGTGTTGCAATGACTTTCAAACTCTCACTTTCCATACCGATGAAAGATGAGTTTATCAGATCCAATTCCTTCACTTGTCTGTTCAGCCGGAAAGAAACGTTAGTGAATTTTTCTAGACATTTGGCGTTAGTCAAAGCATTGTTCTGAACCTCAATTATGTTGCTAAAATTTTCCTGCTTAGATGTGTCCAACACTTCAAGAATCTCGCCTACAGCCCCAATAAACTTTGTTCTGAGAGAAAAGAACCATCTCTGGAAGCAGAATGCTTTTTGAGATATGACTATTCTTTCTAATGTTTCTATTGAAGAACATGCATTATGGCATGCCCCAACAAGAACATCCCTATAATTAAGCACACTGTCATTCCCTGTGGCATCTTGTCCGAGTTCTCCAAAATTATCTTTCAAAAAAGTAAGGAGTTCATTCATTCCCATTGAACCTACTACGAAAGAATCTTGCTTTGCCAAAGAACTAAGCCAGTGTTTTGCCTCAGAATGGAAAAACTGAACTAACGATTTAAGCCAGCAATAACAGGAATCAGACTGAACTCTTCTAATGAGCTCTGCAAAAATAAAAGTTGCTGTAATCCATGCTCCCTGACTTGCCGCATATATTCCTGCTTTATAGGCATGCCAGTAATCCCTCCCTGACAACATCTTGCAGGCATGTTCAAGGGTATAGAGTTCTTGCTTAAATGGGTGCTCGATAACAACTCCAACAAGATGAGAATGCAATAGCAAAGAGTAAACAGTACGTGTATAGTAATCAAATACCCTGCCATGATGTAGATGCTCCACCAGAAAATGTACTTTGTCAAAGACATTGGCAGTGATTGCACCAGCTTCATTGAGGATTTGAAGACAGGCAGACACAAACCGGTGTATGTTTGATAAAAGTTTGGACCTGAAGACTTTGCCCATATCTTCCTTAAAGTCAATAACCTCGCCTGAAGCAATTTGTTTACTAGCCAAAGCATTTTCATTTAGATTTGCAAAATATTTGATAATGAACTGATTTCATCCAGCACTGTTACACCCAAATCCTGATGTTCCCCAACAAGCTGAAGAATAAGATTAAGAAGGTTTTTAACTTTTTGCAATACTCTGTTACTAGTCTGGCAAGGATCAGATGATGACTTCACCAGTGATCTGACCTGTGCCATAACTAAAGAGATGACCTGCAGTGGCAGAGGTGAGGAATAAACAGCAAAAGATTCACTATTTGTTCTTGCGCAAAGTATCGTTGACATATCTGTAATTCGAAGAGCTGCAAGGCTCTTTGACATGATTGGGGACTGCGATGCATTTTGTAGAATGGCTAATATCTGAGTAAATTCGAGCTTCTCTAAAGAATGGAGACCAGGTATGTATACAAAAGGATTTGCATATTGCCCCAAATGATCAACAAAGTTTAAACCAAACGATACTAAACAACTCAGTAATGATATAATTAAAGAGAACCTTATGTAAAATCTGGAGAGCTCCCCAATGCATGACTGATGGAAGTTCCAGTTCATCTAGTATGCTGAATAAAGCTTTGATCGTGTACATATTTACGGGACAGCAACACCCTTCTTTTACAAAAATTAGATGCAAACACCTTAATGCTGTTACTCGCATCTGCAAACTATTTTCCTGGGTAACACATCGCGAAAGCACATCCACCTGTATCCAAATAGAAAGACACAAACATATTAAGAAAGTCATCCCACATGAAATGTATTGCAAGAAAGAGAGATTGAGAACGATCATTCACCGGGGTCTGCTCTGACATCATGAACTGGTGCTAGAAGGAATACCTGTTCAGAAATAAGACTTGTTGACTTGGAAACAAGTTTTGAGAGTGAAACCAGTATGGCAATGATGAAATTCTCTTCTGAAGAATCTGACGTCAGCTTTACACCAGTCTGCAAGAAAGTAGTGACTTATATGAGCTAAGAGAAAAAATTTCCAAACTGAGAGTTTGCAGGAGGAATTAATTATTTGAGTAGCATACTGATTTCTACTTGTCACTGATATCTTCCTATTGTTGCATAACATATGGGACTAGTAGATCAATAGTACCTCACAATAACAGTAAATAGCAACAATGGTCACACTATTGTGCCTAATTGGAGTATCATATGTTGGAAAATTTTGAAGGCATATGCAATGCGCCTCATGTTTAGGACTCAGTTCTTTAAAATGGATGAAACAGGCAATAATTAACACTAGATGCCTCCTCTTAAAAATAACATGTCAAAAAGGCCCTGAAAAACCTTTTACCAATCCATGATATGGTCATGGATAAAAACTGTCATTTACAGGCCTGGTCGTAATTTTGCACAATCAGCAGAAAGTTGTATTTAGACATTCAAATTGGAATCTGCATGTGTCAGGATATGAGTGAATGGGATTGACGGGAAGGGAGCACAAAACCTTGTAAGCTCTTCTTGAAACTGAATATGAGTCACTCATTCAAGTAAAAACACTTACACCTGCTAACCTTGCAGCTTCCGGTGTTTCTTGGGCAGCCATCATATTCGCCAGCATCTCCAACACAACAGATGCAAAGTCATCTGTTAACTCACAAAACCGACTGGCGGCAAACAATGATGCTTTCACCTATAGAAATCATGCAAAGGCAGAGAATAAGCCTTTCCTGTGTTCTAAAAATAAGTTATAGTAAGTGGCATGTAAATAATGGCATAGCCAATAATAATATTTCTTATCTTTTATTTCTTCGGTGTTTGGAAAGGCAGGATGATAATCTATGGGGGCAAGATTAGTGTCTGCAGATGTGTGTGATTGGGAAGAAATACTGATGTTGAGACACCAGACTCACCTCCAAGTTATCGGAAGAGACCATACTGGAGAGTACCAAGTACCGTATCTCTGCACTATCTTTTGCAAAATCAGCCCAACAACCAAATAGAACTAAAGCCATTGCTCTCGACTCAACGTCACCTGTGTCCAAAACAACCTTCACTCTTCTCAACAGTTCTTCATGGTTATAGACTCTGCTATTTGGAAAAGTTCGTCTCTTTTGATTCCTGTGTTTGTTGCTCTTATCACACCTGATATTCGTCAAGAAAATTCTGACAACAGACAGCCTGATTTTCTTATCACCAAAGCGAAATGCGTCCGCAAGCCTTAAAAGTATAGTATTCGCAAACAGTCTATCCTCGCCAGGGACTAAACCGAAGATGGAGAGCACTGCCTTCGTCGCTTCAGGTTCTCGTCCCCACAGTTCCAGTCTTTGACCAGTCTGTAAAATTGCCTCAGCTGCTCGGGCTGAATAAGGAAAACTCATCAAACTGAAGGAGAAACGACATTAGTTGGTATTGGAGTTTGTGAAAATAAAAAACAAAAAAAGTAGGGAAACCTGGGTTATTGGAGCGTAGAGCCTTGTCGAGCTGGATGCTCCATTCCATGGCACTAGCAGCCGATATTTTGTCCATTGCAAAATGGGGTCACCAGCTCAGCTACGTCCTGGAAAATATATAAAAGAGAAAACAGAGGGGATGCTGTGAGAGAAAGAGAAAGCAAAGGGAATGAGCATTTAGACGAAGAGTTGGTGGGCAGAAAAAAGAAAATCTTACAATGGCAGATTCGACGCCAAGACCGACACACACTGACTGCTCAACCATGATGATGATTTCCTTTGAATCCCAAACTTCCACTTCCACTTCCACCTCCACCTCCTGTATTCGTGCTTGGTTTGCTAAGAGGTAATCGATCTTTACAGTTTCTGCTTATTCGTTATTTCACGGCTCATCAATGAAGGATCCAAAAATATGTTTGAAGTGGATCCATCTATATTAATAATACAGAAAATTTATATGCAGCGAATGTAAATAAAATCTTTTGGGTATATTTTACTAATAAATAAAAAAATATTTATTTTATTAATTTAAACTACTTACAAGTGAGTATATTTATTTTAAATATTCTCGGTTATTTTATAACGGTTCAAATATCATATAATCTCATAAATTTATAATGATTAAGTAAATTCTTAAATGAGATTAAAATAGGGATAATGGGATAGCCTACATTATGGCCAACCAATTAATGTTTAATTTTTCTGTCACTCTGTTATAAAAATGTTATATATTTGTCATCAATATTTTCGAATTTTATTTTTTGTCATTTCGTATAATGATCAGCAAAATGATAACATGACAATTTGAGCATTGGTTTAATGATAAATATAAGCCTCAACTTTTACATATTAACTAATTTGGCCATGATTTTATTAATCAATGAAAAATATTCTTTTAACAAGACGAAAAGATATATCTTAAAGATAAAATAACCTCAGTGACAAAAAATGCCTTATAATATACGATTTTAACCAACTTTTTTTGGATTTGCCAAAATGACCAACTAAATCGCAATGTGATCGATAATTCACAACGCGATCTCCGGTATCGCAAATCACTTCCTTGTTGAGTGATAGAGAACAAGGGGGACTCTCGCGCGCCGCCGCCGCCGTCGCCACCGTCCGTCTCGGGTCGGGTCGTGGTCGTGGTAATACGCGTCTTCGACACGTCCGCGCGAATACTATCTTTTTAGAGAAAATTCTTAAGAAACAAATGCAATACAACCAGTCGTTGCGATTTTGGACTATCGCAATGCGAATATGTAAATCGCAATACGATAGTCCAAGTTCGCATTGCGATAGCCGACTATCGCATTGCGATTTACATATTCGCATTGCGATAGTCCAAGTTCGCATTGCGATAGTCAAAGTTCGCATTGCGATAGTCGAAGTTCGCGTTGCGAATCTGGAAACTGATTTGCGATACCGGAGATCGCGTTGCGAATTATCGATCGCATTGCGATTTAGTTGGTCATTTTGGCAAATCCAAAAAAAATTGGTTAAAATCGTATATTATAAGGCATTTTTGGTCAATGAGGTTATTTTCTCTATCTTAAAACTATCTTTACTAAACAATCGTAACAAGAGAACGAAACATTTAGAAAGTTTCTAGTTAAATTTTCGTTGATTTTAATCGAGTTTTATGAAAAAATAATTCAAAAATTTGGCATCAAATTTATCGTAAATAACGACGGGTGACAAACAAAAAAAATTAGAAATTAAACGATCATGTCGTTACAATATTAATGATTCAATGACCTATGAAAAAACATCAATATAATAACATTATAAAAAACAGTAAATATCATATTATTTCAGAGTTTAATCACGTAGGCAGACTAAAAGATATGTAGATTGCAGACAACACAGTCTTCAATCTGTATACATAAACATAAATAAAATAAAAAACTTAAGATTTAAATAATCACTTCCTTTTAAGTTTATTTTCTTCTTTAGATATATCTGGCGAAAGCATCGTCGACTTTCACTATCTTCTTGAGTTTTCTGACAACGGTAACCGGATTCACCTCCCCTACGACTGTCAGTTTTTGCTCACTCACGTCCGCCGCAATTGAATCAACGCCTGTTCATCAAAATCTCACGACAAAACTAGAAAATGAATTTATAAAAAAAAATCTCTTGATTGAGTGTTATACCACGTATGTCAGCAACGGTCTCCATAACTTTCGTCTTTGTCTGCTGATCATTCATGGCAGTGATTATCACGATCACCTCCTACAATTCAATAGTTAATATGTATTTATTCATCTATATATATATATGTATTATAATTCAAATACCTGTCGAGGAAGTTTCTTAGAGCGAAAGCACGATAAAACCATCTTAAAATAAAGAACGCTAAACTTTATGTAAGAAGTTCTTTAAAAAAATCACAGACAACTTGATATGTAACCCTAATCTCTTATAGTTATTTATAGGGAACGTTAATTGATTATGAAAAGAAACTTATTAAATAAAGATTTAGTAAAATTAAATTTTCTACTTTTAATTAATATTAAAAAGTTGATATTTTCTTTCTTTATATTAAATAAAAATTTTCACTTTCTTCTTTTAATTTATATCTTCATTAATGAGAATTAAATCAAATTTAAATTAAACTATAATCATGAAAATAAAGGTCGTCAAAGATGTTGTATATATATATATATATATATATGACTATCGTAATAATGTCTTAAATAATGATTGTATTCTTGCAATGCTGAATGAATTAGGAGCATCCAACTTCTTAAAGCACTTTCATAACCTTTTTTATTATTATTTTAATTTAGGATAAACTACATATTTAGTACTTAAACTATCAATTTTGATCCATTTTAGTACGTAAACTTTTAATTTTTTCAAAATCATACCTGACGTTTAGTTTTTGTTTCATTTTGGTACCCCGCCATTAAAAACTTAACATGTTTAGTACCTAAACTATCAATTTTGGTCCGTTTTAGTACCTAAACTTTAAAAAAAATCAAAACTTATCGTTAAATTCTGAAAATGATATTAAAATGAAACAAAAATTAAACTTTAAGTATGATTTAGAAAAAAATAAAAGTTTAAATACTAAAACGGACTAAAACTGATAATTTAGATACTAAACACGTAATTATAGTTTGTGTAGCTGTTCAAGCTCAACGATTGTGCGTGTATTCGAACCATTGCTGCCGTCAAACTATCAATTGTAAGTGTTTTTAGGGTAAATTGTAAATTTCACCATTAAAATTTTAAAAAAATTCAATTCGATCATTTAACTTTAATATTTTTCAGTTTTTTTGTCATTTTATCATTAATCATTTAATAGCGTGTCCAAAACATTCTTCGCTCTCCTCAACAGTTCTTCATTGTTATACACTGCCATTTAGATAATTCATCTTCTTTTATTTCCTATGTTTGTTGCTTCTATCATAGCTGATAATTGTTAAAAAAAATGTAATACCTCTTCTTTATTTAATAAAAAAAGGTAAATTACATAGAATACCACCGAACTTTAAGTGATGTATTTTTTATACAAGTACAAGACAATATATGTTCAAAAATAACTTTCAACCATTAGACATTGAACGCTCACACCCTTTATATTCTTGGTGCTCAAACCCAATACCTCGAGAAATACAATAATTACTTTACCGCCGAGATCACTTGGTTCGTGCACATGATTGAATCATTAAATTATTAAAAATGAATTTATAATAATAAAATAAAATTTGTAATACAGTAATTACTTAACTACTATGAGTTAATTGTTTTCGTATAATTATGAAAATTTACAGATTGGTCATTAATATTTTTGAGTATTTTTTTATTATTTTATTAAATGACCAGCAAACGATGACATAACATTGGTATAACAGCAAATATAATCATAAAGTTTTACACATTAACCAATTTAGTTCTAACCTTATTAATCAATGAAAAGTATTCCTTTAAAAATAATATATTTCAAATTCGTTGAAAGAGAACAAAGCATTATAAAAGTTAAATTTTTAAATAATTTTTCATCAATTTTAAATAGATTTATTAGTGGTGTACATTATACGTAGAGAAAAATAAAATAAAATCGAAGTACTTGTTGAGGATATTTCTTAAAACGAAAACATGATAAAATCATCTTAAAATAAAAACCTTAAGCTTTACGTAAAAGTTGATAATTAATTGGTTAAAAAGAAACTTATTTAATAAAGTTCTATTACAACAATAATTTTTATTTTTTAATTATACTAAAGTTGATATTTGCTTAGTTTTTTTTTATTAAATTAGATTTTCAGTTTTTCTAATTTCCTTTTATTTTATGTCTTTGATAATTTTCTATTGAGTTTCGGATTAAAATTTTAGTAGCTTTTAAGAGGTCTTGGGAAAAATCTCAAATAATAGGGTGATAGAGGAGAAGTAGGGTACATTCGGTGTTGGATTGACATCACTCCAACGAACTATGCGGTGCAGGTGTATAATTAAACCCTAAAAAAGAATCGAAGTGTCTAAATGATTGGTGAATGGTTACTGATGGTGTAGGATAATGTTGCTAACAGTCTTATTTTATGATGTGTTGTTAGCCCTTCTGGGTCGATGCTATTACAGTAACAATATGTTCTCTGGGTAGGGTTTTCAAGCATCAAATTTGTGCACTTCTTTTCCCATTACAGTATTAGACTATCAGAGATACTAAGTTTTCTTCCATTCTTTGTTTTGGCACCTCTCACATCACTAAATGATTGTGCTCGACAGTGTTTGTAGCCTCAAACTCGCTTTATATAAGTGGCTTTGTCACCTCCTGTCACATATTCTTGGCTATCAGGTTATGCATATAAATGCCCCCTTCCTTGGGTTAGATATGACTTTTGAACTTGATTCTCTTTTCATCCCCATATGTTTTCAATACTACAATAGCATCTGTACTCGGCCGTCCATTGAATCCCCAAGCAGCTGCTGAAGCTGTGATTATTCTGTCTTCCTCTCTTTCAAAGTTAGAGTCTTTTTGGCCCAAGGGTAATGGATGTTTTATGCTAGGTGGAAACCAGCTATCCATAGCAGATCTTAGCCTCGTTTGTGAAATAATGCAACTCGAGGTTCATTTTTGTGACTTGATGTTTTTGTCCACATTTCAATTATTTGTTGCTGCCTTCTCTGGTGGAATATAATATTCTATGATATAGGTTCAGGTTTGCCTCCTATAGATTACCTCTTTCCTTACGGTCCTGCACACCATTCATCATCGTAATCAGCTCAACTATAGGTGCAACTGAGCCTTTCTCGAGTATATGAGATTATTTCTTGGATCTTACATGCACATTTTAGGTCCATGTTCTTTATAAGCATCATAAAATATGTTCCTCTTTGGCATGTATTTTTTAGGGTCATCTCCTTCATAAGCTCCATAAAATAGAGTCCTTTTCTGTAATCTTTAGTATCATCATTTTCTTGTTCTATCTTCATTTTCTCTTACTGACATGCCAAAGCAAAACCACTCATACAAGGAAAGAAAAGGTCAAAGCCGGCATAGTTTATCCAAGCCAGTTCTTCAGAGCCGTGGTCCTTTTCTTGCTACCATCAAGATTAGGTTTTCTTACATGAAAAAATATACACAAATCTGCAAAATTTGACAATGATATTGATGATCGGTCTTACTTAATTACTATATAGAAATGGCAAAGAGTCAACTTTTGTTAGACAGACTTGTCTTCCCTACATTTCAGTTGAATAGGTTATCGTACTTCATCTTCTTCTTTTAACGGAGCTAAAAAAAACCAGGTGCCGGGATTTATCTTTCTGCTCAAAACCTACCTGTAATGTATTACTTGCATTGCATCGGCTTCCCCAAACGTACACGGCTTACCACTGATTGCTAATTTCAGAATCTTTGTTCCATCTTGGCTTGCAGATCTATGCATGTATTCGGAAAGACATTGAAATTTGATAAAGCTTTCTCGGATGTAGGTTTTGGATGAGAAGGACCATGCGATGTTATTGGGTCCGCACAAGAAAGTCCAGCAGTGGATCGAGAACACGAGAAATGCTACGAGTCCTCACTTCGATGAAGTGCATAGAGTCCTCGTGAAAGTCAAAGAAATACTACAAAACCGGCGGTTAAAGGCAGCGAAAAATGAAGGTGGATCCGACATGAAAAAGGCATTGCCTTCAAGAATGTGAGTGAAAACCGTGTACTGTATTACAAAGTATTTGATCACCAGATCTTCGGCTGTTTAATCTTTCCCCTACTCTTTACAGAGGCTGCAATAATGGATGATAAGCAACTATTAGCTTGTATAAGTACAGACTCTTGCATAACTGCTACAATAATTATGTTATTGCATGTATTTTATTAAAAAATAATTATATTATTACATGTATGTTATTTTATGTTATAATTTTGAAACAGACACTTGCATAACTGCTACAATAATAATTTATGTTTCTAAAAAATATATATTATTAATTTAATTTTAATTTAAAATAATTTAATGAAAAAATATATTTAAAAATTACATTAATTTATTTTTTTGATATGTCAAACCAAATTGATCTATTGAATTAAATAATTATATTTTATTATAAAGTAGGAATAAATTATTATTAATATCATTTCTGTTGGTCATAAATTTATAATAATGAAGGAGATATAAGATTTGAAATGAAAGAGAAATAAGACCAACAATCAGTTGATCTAGTGAGATGAGGCACTGAGTCCCTTAATTAAGGTCAAGGGTTCGAGTTTTGACGTTTTTGAATAGAGTAAACTGAGTTGGGAGGGTCGCCTTTGTCTCTCCGGTACCTGATCTAGATTAGTCGGTTAATAGATCGGATATCAGTAATTAATTAAAAAAATAAAAAAGTTAGGATTTGTAAAATATTAATTTACCTAACTAAACAGCATGCTCCATGGTGACGAATGGGAATCGAGACTAACTTCTTTTCTCTCGCCTTCCTCTTTCCAACTTTTCCTCAGGAACAAAACGAGCATTACTCAATGGCGACTCAAACAAGAGAAAACCCAGAATATCTATGATTTCACTGTCAAGGTTGGTCTCTTGTTTCTTCCTTTAATCCCTTTATTACTTTGTTCAAACACTTCAATTAATTCTTTACTTGTTCAATTCCACGAAAGATAAGCCAAAGAATGAAATCAAGTTGAAATTAGAAGCTAGCTATGATTTTTAGTTGTTTGAACTGTTCGTTTCATATCATAGATAGCTAATGGGCAAATTTTGATTGTTTCTCGACTCCTTTTCAATAAACTTTGGGTTGCCTTTTCGTCGAGGTTGTTCATTTATTGTTGAAGGGGAGTGGGAAGAGGGAAACATTAACAATATTGGCAGCTAAATTAACTGGATAGAAGATGCTTGCCTGAGATATCGGTCGAGAAATCATGCTTTTTTTTTGTATGAAAAGTAGTGCCACAGACAGGAACTTTCTCAGTTTCTTAATTCTTCCAAGAAGGATTCTTAATGATTTTTTAATTTATTGAGATTATATTTAGCATAAGATGGAAAATAAGATAGTTAAATCAAATGGTAGTATTCTGCTTTGAATTGCAGACCCATCATATGGTTGTAATTGGTATCCTTTTGCCTCAATTTGACAGGATGCCAAGGGAAATGATGTGGATCTCAGTATTTACAAGGGAAAAGTGCTATTGATCGTTAATGTTGCTTCCAAATGGTATCTTCTCTCTATTTCTCTGATCAATACTGGATTGTGTTATTTTTTATTTGCAACAGAGCCAATGGATGATGGTTTATAGACTATAATTTCTCGGTCATTTGCTCCAAAAGCCTTGTTCTTTCGTTCTTTGACCAATTAGGGTTTCTTTTTTATGATCCTTTCTTTGGTTATTATGTGGCAGCGGAATGACAAATTCGAACTACACAGAACTGAATCAATTATATGAGAAGTATAAAGGACAAGGTTTGCATTTTGAACCTTGGGAGCTTTCCTCGTACCTTGTGTATTGTCATCATTAGAAATAATTACAAATCCCACTTCGAAAGATATATGATATTGCAATGTTAACACATACTCAAATATGCGTTTGTTTTGTAAAAGGCTTGGAGATTCTGGCTTTTCCATGCAATCAATTTGGAGATGAGGAACCAGGATCAAATGATGAGATCTCGGAATTTGTTTGCACCCGCTTCAGATCGGAATTTCCCATCGTTGACAAGGTAGCCAGCATCAAAGTTGTACTTGCTTTACTGTTGAAATTAGTAAAACTTGGTTATTTTTTCCACAATCATTGGTTACTATATAGGTTTTTCACCAAGATTCATATACCGGATGATCTACCTCGATTGGCATAGTTTAGGCACAAATATGATAACATGCTTGCATGAAGAACCCTGCTTATGAACCATATGCATAATGTGCAAAATTTCTTGAGGCACTTACTAGCTGTTTTGGTATTAGATTGAAGTAAATGGCGATAATGCTTCTCCACTGACAAGTACTGTAAGTTAGGGAAATGGGGAATTTTCGGAGACGATATCCAATGGAACTTTGCCAAGTTCTTGGTCGATAAGGATGGCCAAGTTGTTCATCGTTATTACCCGACCACTTCCCCACTAAGTCTTGAGGTGAAACCTTCACTTTGCCCCCCACCCTATGCATAAGAGTCTAATTTTGGCATTTTATATCGAGGTATAGTTACATAAAGTGAATTTGATCTTTGGATATATGGTGTTACTGCAGTATGATATAAGGAAGCTACTGAAATGATAAGTGAAAAAGAGGGAAGATGACAAGCTGCCGGATTATTGCTGAGAGATAAAGGCTAGACAGACCAGCCGGTCAAAGTGTAAGCATAAAATACTTCTTCTCGTAGTGAGCGTATATTCCAGGTTTGTAAAATTTGTATTGCAGAATTCCATGTTAGAGCCATGTCTAACAAGACCAAATTCAACATGTATGTTAGTGTTATATATTGGGATCTTCTAAGGTTTGTTCTTGCATTATATGCAACTTTGTTTTTGTTGATTAATCTTTTTTCAAAACAAACAGTTACAATTCGATTTTTCATTCTTATTTCCTGCACTGCTTTCATTCACTTAAAAAGATTAACAAAGGCATATAGTATCATTTGGATTTCAGGATTTAGACCTTGTTTTCTTTATCATGTCTTTCAGCCAGGACACAGCTTCATTTCTGTGTGCTGACACAGTTCACTTGTTTTCCATATTTTGTTCATCTAACTTGAAATGCTGCATAAGGCAGATAAAAATGGTTGGATTTCACAGCTGAACAAACAATGAACCCCTTAGCCCTACCTCCACCCAAAGCTAAAGCAACTTACTTTGTTACAATCCAAGTTAGCAGAAACCTATTTCCCCTATAGGGCAAATTGGGAAGATATTTGAACTTTTCATCTCAGATTCTGTAGATGTACAACATGAATGTAGTGATCATCCTCGCATCAGGTCAATATCTCCGGAAGGGTTTCTCAGACCGACAGGCCGTGAACCAGGCCAAGCACTCAGAGGAGGGGAAGTAAAATGTTGAGTCGAAGGTGCACTTGTTGGCATAGTTGTTTCATTGCATAATTGGGGCATGGAATCCTTTCCTTTCGTACTAGCCGGTTGCTTGTTCTTAGTTTTAGATCCCCCATAAACAAAACTGCATACCACCAGCTGCAGCAAGTTTATATGATACCTTAGAATCATACGCATAAAGAGTCATGCCATAGTCCTCTAGATAGTGGAATTTGGAGAAATAAGGATACCTGAACTGGGCTTGATGCAATCAATGTTGCAACCCCACCACCTATGACATGACCATCAGGGGTAGAAAGAGAAGCACTTATGCCTCCTGTTCGACTGCAAGGTCCACCATCCTCGGGAAGCAAGTACGACCCAGACAAACATAATATCTCGAAACGGCCCTAAGAAAAGCTAAAACAGATCAAATAAGTTCCCACCAAGCTAAAAGTAACATGGCAGTTTCATTGGCAGAAAGCCTATATAGATGAAGAGGGGGAAAACACAAACAAACTGATACATAATCAGGCTACCATACTATGATTTTGCAAGATGCATCTATGCAGAAGTAGAAAAACCAGAGGAGTGTCAAGTGCCACAACCTCATATGTCACCGTAGGCGTTGGAGATGCAGATTGACGTAGAGTTACAGAGGAAACTGTACCACTGCCTGATAAAATGCAAACAGCTCTTGGCCTTTGTTGTGAAAAGGACACCATTTTCTCTACAATATCCTGTAAAAGAACATAAAATTTGCACATTCCATATCAAAATAAAGTTCTACATGATTAGGAAATTGCTGATTCTATTTGCAACTACATCATGTAACAAAACACAGTAATGCTAATTCAGAACGGATAATGCAGCCCATGTCCCTTCTATACCAACTCATAAGCTTAAGTGTGTGTGTGTGAATATATATTGGGCATACTGTCGTATACGTGTATTTAACTGCAAAAGATGCAAGTCCAAGATCAATTCAATTTGTATTGAATGTGGGATGAATTGAAAAGATGTGGTTTACTTCTCCAATTCCAACAGTAACAACATGAGGAGCAAAGGCCTGCCCAGCTGAACTGTTCATCCATTCGCCTATCAGAAACAACAGAACAGTTAAATACTGAAAGGCAAGTAGCATATATTCACAACACAGGAAGTTTATAAAAGCATTTCTATTTCTGATGAGAACTAAGCTCTAACCATATGTTAGCTAATTTCCAATTCAAACACCAAAATGCAACAAAAAAAACTAACCTAGAGGTGCTAATTGCTGCTTTCTCCCAGTCCCAGGAGGACGTCCTTTCTTTCTTTTGTGGCCAGAAGCATCTGATCCTGATGAAGATTTGGGCTTCGCAGGCAAAGGCAAAAGTCCCAGTGAAACCTGGCCATCAGGAGCATACTTCCGGGGCCTCCCTCTTTTTTTCTTAACCGGCTCCCCCGGTGGCACCCCAGAGGGCAACCCCATGTCAATACCATGAGGAAAGCTGTCATTTTTAGGCTCCCTTGTAACTGTTGATCCAATGTCCGACTGAAGCTGAACCTGGGGGTTAGATGGGGGCCTGAAACTTGGTTGAGAATAAAATGCAGATAAACTAGGCCCACTAACTCCTCTATGAATATAATAAGGAGATGACCCGCCTGATAATGCCATGGCTTCTCTCCCATCCATGCATTTACTATTGAATTAATCACAGTTTAAGAAGAGAAAGACTGATTTTTTTATATATTTGGGGACCAAAACTTTGGGTTTATTTAAAGACTTTTAACCCCAAAATTAAATTGATTCAAACTTGCAAAAAGAGTACCGGTTTTGAGAAAATGGTTTTACCATGGCTTCAACTAAAACAACTTGAGAATTTGAAATCTCTGCTTCATAGGAATCTCCTTTTTAACCACAAATCTTATAGAGTAAACATAAAGATGTTCAAAGATGGGGTTTCAGGGTTTCATTATAAATAAATGAAATTTAAGTGTCCCAAGAATCTTCAGTCGAAAAAGGTAAACTCTTGAGCAAGCTAAAAAAAAGGATACTGAGTTTGAAATCTGAAAAGCTCAAAAACCCAAACAAAGTAGAAGCTTTTAAGAAATTGTAGCACTCAGGACCATGAATTGATCAAGAAAAACAAAACCCTAGGTTTTCAGGTTTTCAAAGAGATGCAAGAAAAAGAAGAAATTGAGGGTAAATAAAAGACAGGAGAGAAAATGATTAGAAAAAGAATGAGCTTTTGAATCAAAAAATGCATCAAGTAGAAGCCTTTTCTCTTTTACTTTAAACTAAAACTGAAAACAAAAATTATTGGGGCAACTCTTTACTGTTTAGTAAAGAGTCAAGTGGGAGCATTAGTATTCTGACTAAAGACCATTTTTATGAAAGAGTTCGAGTGATGGTACTGGGATGGGAGGGTAAGTGACCCACAAAAAGTACCCAAAAAAACCAATTATAGTGTGTTTGTCCTTATCAAATTCCCATTTTTCTTAGTGCAGTGAGCCCTTTATCTTTGAGTAGCTGTAGTCATTTTGTTTTGAATTATTTCATTTTTTCACTCTGTTTGAACGAGTGTGTCTATGTGGTACAGTTTTAGCCTTTATTACTCTGATTAAGAACTGAGCCAGGAAGAGTGGAGGTGGTCAAGGAATCCAAACAATGACTCTAACAAGGGGGAATAATTTCGTATTCATTCTTAAAACTACAGGCAAAATGACGTTGGTCTTCTTTTGTTTCTTTCAGATTCTGTGAACGACGTCGTTTCACAGGTTTGGCTCATTTATCATTTCCACTTTTCAGAACAGTTGAAATGATTTTCACACTAGCTCTAGTTTTGAATGCACGCCGGCGCTACACTCTACTCTGATTTCCGAGAAATTATTTGGTTAATCCGCTTGCTATGTCATCGGTAGTTTCGATAAATCAGAGTCGTAAATTTTAAAATAATTTTTAAGTAACTATTCACTTTTAATTTATATGCAAGAAAAATATAAAGATTCACCTTAGAAAAAATAGGTATACATAATTATTATTAGTTGAAATCACAGATGACGTAATGAGTCGAAATGATGTAATGAGTCGATACAATCTATTTAGCTTTAATGATCATTTATGTATTTTATCTTATATTCACATCATCACAACCATGAACAGGAAAGCGACAGGATTTCTTAGAACTATTGCTCGCCTTCCTATGTTTCTTTTAATGACTGGCAAGTTTGGGGTTAACCTGTTGGTTCTGCAATTCAACATTGGCCTTTTCCTTCTCAGTCTGATGCTTCACAGACATCTCTTCTTTTATAATATTTTTAACATCTCACTTCCTAGTATTTGCTGCAACATTCTTGTTATCAACAGCATCCTGAAAAAAAAATCAAAACAGATATATGTGAAGCATCAGACAATGAAGAAAAGAACCACCAAAGAAATGTATAGTCAAAATCTATAATAGGTTCAGCATAATTGCAGCACGGAATTGGTTCGCTATTTGTTATAAAGAAAGAACAAATTGCCTTCATATAAAAAGGTACTAGGAATATGCAACGAGTTTTATAATAAAAGCAAGTTAATAAACTCACATCTGCGTATTGAGCCTTCTCCTCTTTAGAGAGTAAACTAGGCTTATTACTTTTATAACCATCACCTGCAGATGAAAATCAAAACAACTAAACTTAGATGGACATGGCATCCATAAAACTTAAAGAAACTGCATATGACATTATCAAGAATCAGAACAATTAGTTTACTTTAAAGAACACATAGATTCATATCGCACAATATACTTCATTCTCCACCAAAGATAAAGGTCTTCTTACCTTTAGCCTGCCTGTTGGATCGCTTCTTATCGGAAATGAGCTTGCCGTGGGAATGAGCTTGCCGAAAATCAAAGAAGTGAATTAACCCCCAGGCACATCCTGACTTGTACTCTTCATAGATTGCAGGGCTTTTAGGTGACAGCATAGGACTCTTGAGAGCTGGGCTGGTAGGTAATATCCTATCCATTTTTGGGTGGATTAGTATTGACTGCTAACAATAGGGCATTTTGATGTGTTTTATTCAGAAATCTAAGCATGAGAACCTGAGAGAAAAAAAGAATCAAATGAAGAGAATTTGTCAGTCAAACATTGCATGACATCACAAACAAACGAAAACCGGAAGAGATCCGAATTTGAATGTTCTGCACAGCTGACGGGATTCTGGTTGAATATGATGTAATAATCTTCATCATCCCGTACACATATCCATCAAAAGGACCCGAGAGACTGGCTGGTAAAGAAATATTCGTAAAGTGTACATGATTTCTGTAATAAACAAGAGCCTGAATGTACTGATAATTAACACAAAGTATAACACTCAAAACCATCTAAGATCCCAGAAAATGAACATATTAACCGGCATTGTTTCACGAGCCCTTTCAGCATTAAAGACAAACTAAAGAATATGGAGAGTTAAACTTAAAGCCGTGAAGGAGAGGGAGCAGAAAAAAAAACAAAATAAAAATAAAAAATGGTGGGAAATCCGGTTCGAGGAAGATGAAAAAAGAATGGCAGAGAGTATATTACGACATTGACAAGTAATATAGGAGTACTAAGGTTTGAAGATAGATAATAAAACACATAAATAAACTTTGAAATGAAGCAAAATCTTGAATCCCATTGTCTTCTTTCTTCAATCTCCCTCTCTTTCTTCTCTCTGCAATTAAAGCTCCCAACCATGTCACCCATCCGCTCATTTTTCCACTTATTGCTCGCATGTCGTTGTTGGATTTAAAATTTGGGATAAAGTAATTTTTGGTCCTTGAATTTAACAACTTCTCTTAGTTTAATCCTTATTTTTTCTACATTGTTTTTTGAATTTAGATTATGCTGAAAAGAATCTAAAAAGCATAATAATCTTTTTTTTTTGGTGAACTAAAGATAAAAACTAAATAAACTTAGGCCTCTGCTGCCAAAATACAATCACCAGCTTCCTGTTGAACCAAATTGGCAACTTCCAGTGGTAGAGTGTAGAAGACCATGTGAACCTCACCTCTTATTGCAACTATCTTTGCTAGTTTATCTTCCACCTTATTTGTAGCCCGATTTATATGCTTCAAGGTAAAATTTCATTCTCGGTTTAACAACTCATTAACACAGTCTAGAAGAGTAATGATCGAACCTCTTTTAGAATTTTCCTGTAGCATTAGAACAACCTTCAAACTATTTGTTTCCACAATGACTTGCCTCTCCCCAAGATTCTAAGCATGAGAAAGACCTTCATGGATACCCCATAACTTCGCTTCAACTATAGAGCAAATTTCGATCGCTTTAGAGAATCCAAGCATCCAACCACCGTCGAGGAATAACACCCCCACATGTAGCAAATTTGTTTCATATTTTACGGGAATCATCAGTATTAACCTTACACCAATTAAAAGGAGGCATATACCAAGGATCATACATAATAATAATCTTTTATTATGATTACAATTTTATCTATTATTCTCTCACAAATAGTCTTTTTATCTAAATATCATCACTAAAATAAATATTTTCAAATCAATTGTTATTATCAGACGTGTTTTATAAAATAAGAGCATATTATGTTAGTCATTTCTTTTAAAAGTGTGATTGATCGGATGTATTTTCATTCTACACAGCATGTTCGGTTAATGAGAGACCTTTGTGTCCTATGTCACATGTTGTGTAACATCCCCAACATCAGGTTAGTGACTAAATTGTAAAACTTCAGAATTTGGTTATTAAAGAGGAATAGTTAAATAGTTCAATGACTTATCTGGAAATAGTTTATGAATTATTGTTAGTAATTATTAAATGGAGTAAAGGGCAAATTGGTCATTTAACATGAAAGATATTTTCTCCCTTTAATAGGAGAGAAACACGTAGGGGGAGAGTTAGCTGAAAAACTCTCTTCTTCTTCTTTCTTTCTTCTTCTACATCGTGAACAAGGGAGCAAAGGTGAGTTTTCTGATTACTTGATTGTTTGTTGATTTTAAGTATGGGTTTTGATCATTAGGTGATACTTAAGCTTAAGGAAAGTTTAAGTTGTCTTAAAAATCAAAAGATTAAGAAATTATGAAGGATTAAAGAGAATGTGTTTCTAAATGAATTTTTTGAAAAAGAGTTAATAAAGGAACTTTGAGATGAAATTTGACTTGTCCTTCATAAGAATAAGAGATTTATGAAGTTAGAAATGATTTATAACAAAGTTGAAAATTTAGTAAGATTCTTAATTTTGAGAATCATGATGAGATATGGAAGATAATGATGGTTTATATGGATATAAGTTCATATTAGTAAATGTATTTGAATTTAATGGCATGATAGGAGCTTAAAATGGAAGATTTAGATGAGTATTGGTGAATTTTCGGGTTTAAACAGTAAATTCTGGGCTGAGATTAAGTTGACAGATTATGCAGGGGGTACAAATACCCTAAGGAGGGTATCGTAGCCTGAAATTTCGAATGCAATATGGGTATCGATACCCAAGCTATGTATCGATACCCTAGCTATAGAGGTATCGATACCCTATGGGGGTACTGATACTACCCTAAGATAAAGTGAAATTAAGCTTTCTTTTAGTCTAAGAAATGAAGGATCGAATCATAATAATTGAAATCCTGATATGGATATTATATGTATGATTGTATAGATATCAAGCACAAGCAAGTTTAGGAACAACCGCAAAGATAGGATCAATTCAAAGAGAGAAAAATCATAGAGGTGGAGTTGGTAATTAAGTGAGGCTAAGGTGAGTGCAAATTTAATTTTACTTATGTTATCGAACAAACATTGGCTTGTGATGAGCTAGTGACGGAGTTACTATGATAAGAAGTGACTCCTAAAATGTTATTTGATTTATGATTCTTATGTGTGCATGAGTACATGAAAATGGGTATATGTTATTATATATGAAATTATAATATAAGATATGTGTAATACATGAAAAGGTGATATAAGTTGTGTAATAAACCATGTGAATTGATATAAATAATTAGGAGAATAAATGGAAAGGTGAGGTAAAATAAGTAGTATTTACTTATAATGTAATAAGAGATTATATGAACATATAGTATTGATAGGGCACATAAGACTACATGTCTATCTTTTAATGTAATAAAAGTGA